GTACTATATGAAATCATATCCCATTTATGTTCATCAAGGGTGCCCTATGCCAAATTCATCGAATGGATAATTTCACGTTTGTTTTAGAGGTGAAGGAACACTTCTTTGTACAACGGACTTTTTCGAGGCTGCCAAGGTGAGTTATTTTGTGGCAATACTTTTCTAATATCATCGCTCAGGGGTGGAACCAGACATTTTTTAGAGGGGAGGTGCAAATCTATAAATTTTGTGTATGTCTCTCTGATGACTGCCTAAATTATGCAGGTAATATGAATATGTACTTCCATATCTATACCTTTCAGGACTTTCCCAAAGGGGGTGTGGATGGAAGTGGGAGGSGGGAGGGAGAGGAGGCACCGCCCCCTGGTACTCTTTGTATCCGCCCCTGTAGAATATATATGACATAAAGATGAGTGTGCTTTGATTACAGAAATTAGCAGAGACTGGACAAGCATTATGGAAAGTTGCTAAACAGCATGCTATCAAGGTACTCTTGTTTGTTTATAAATTATTGTTTTTGCTTTTTTAAGCGTTTTTACTAAACCAATATCGATCGCGCGCCTCCTTACTACGTGGTTTTTATGCATTGTTTTTCGTTGAAGGTTGATGACAGCGAACCGAAACAAGAACTAATGCGTTACACWGACAAACTTCTAGCTTACTGTCAACAATTGATTTTTACCAGTTCATCTCTCTCTGTTGGCCAGACGGCATTATACAGAAAGGTACATTGTATCGTATATACCTAGRGCGGCCGTGGGTGGGGGATCAGTACAAATTAAGTGGCGGGAGGACAGCGTGGATGGTCGGTAGTATCTTTTAGTTCAAAATCATATAATAACAGAAAAGGAAGTTGATATTATCATTTAACGAATCTTATGTTGCCACATCTATCTTCTTAAGACTTCGATACCTTTCTAATTCTATTTGAAAATTTCCAAGGATCATGGTTTAACTATGTAMGACAACAAGTAACTATAGATTTGACTGTTTTGTTCGTTGTATCGTTTGAAGGTCCAGGYAGTGATGAATCTAACCAAGATAATAATCAAAATCGTTGGGAGAGTAGTTAACCGATGTTATCTTGTTACAGAAGAGGTAAGACCTTCAGCGCAATGTCGGCACTGAGAACTTCTTTTTAGGGTTCATCCCTTGTAGAAAGATCGAGGGAAATTGAGACGCTAATGAGAGCGAAAACGTTTATAAGAGGGAAGGACGGAATAGCTGATGTGCAGCGACGCCATATTACCGGGCTATCTTGTCAAACAAATGCGTTGTATAGGAGTTGTAGTCCTCCCACTTTTTATCCTCCTTTAAGCCGTTTTTGTTTTTTTTTTTTCTTTGTAAAAATTAGCAGTAGTTATGCCGTTTCTACAATCAAAACCTAAATACTGTCTTAAGGGAAGTTTTTTATGTGCGATAAAAACATGAAAAAGTGAGAGGACTCGCATCATGGTTTCTTGTACGAAATGCATGGAATGAAAGTTTAGATTTCAACGTATTACCGTTGTTAATAACTATCTTTCGATTGATATAGTATGGTTTTCATATTTTTCAGAGCWCGCCATTACGACTTCCCCCTGATCAACGATTATGGAGGATTGACGAGAATATATTCTCCGAAGCCTCTTCGCTAAACACGTCCAGAAAATCATCAACACAAAACCTGAATGACAACATTCTTGATTGGTTATCAGACGAGGAAAGTGAAGAAAAAACAGAATTGTGACGGTGACAACAAGACAATTGATGAGAGGTTCAGATTTAATATATTCTGTATAAGAGTGGCTAATGTCCCGGGTTGTTTTTAGTCAATTATAAGCGTTATTTCAGTTTTACCTGTTATGTACCCTGTTTCACGGACTGTTGCAAGCACTTTACAGGTGTACAGTTCCCCATTTCTTCGTTTGTAGTCCTCTGTTGATTCTGTCTGTTTGCTTTCGACTGAACAATTGCACTTGCCGGACCAACAGTGTCAGATAATATTCAATCCCCTAGATTTTACATTTCGTCGATTTGCTGGAAATCCGAGACCTCAAGTGTGGAAAGACAAAGTCAAATTATATTTTTCATGAAAGGTTGAATAATATAATCATGAATCAAATTTACAATAAGAAATGGCTTTTTGCCATTATAAATTTTATACTTAATATATAATATTTTCAGAGTTTTAATATATTTCTTGGGAGAATTGTTGTGAATGGAATAAAATGAATTTCTTATGCAAATCGTTCGTACATAATCTAAAGTACTGTGAGCATTTATAATATAGACTAATACTGTAATAAAATAATATAAGAACGTTTTTCTAAGATTAATAAAAAA